CTGGATCTTTTTCATTTTTTAAAGTAAAAACTAGGGTATCCAGGCAAAATCTGTTTTCTGGAGTTCACTGCAGAAGTGTCAGGCATCAACTTCCACAATTATTTAAGCAAAGCCCTGAAGTTGTTGCACAGCTCCTTTAACCAATTGTGCAACTGCGGTTACTGAACATTTCGTGTTTATAATTTGTAGAATGCCTGTAATTATACATTTTGTGGATACTTAATATGTTATACATTCTGAACAAGGTTTTCTGTACGAGAGCAGAACGGCACATTAGCAATTGCACGTCAAAGTCAAATATGGGGGTTTTACGTGCCAAACCAACGACGGGCATCTGGCACGCCCCAGCGGAGGACTGGGGATTAATTTGGGCCACCTGGGGATCTTTTGACGTGCAACCGAAAGCTCAAAACGAAAGCTCGGTTACACGGCGCCTTCTCCGCAATAAGCCTCCGTCAGATTGCGGGCACCTCGGCCGGGATTCGAACCCGCCACATGGGGATCCGTAGGCCGGCGCTCTCGCCTCGGAGCGACCGAGGCGGCTGCAATTGTACGTAACATTCGTCTTTGGAGTAAGTGTATTACCTTAAGATTTTTTGCCGTGGTAGTACCCCAAACCAGGTGACTGTAACCCTTACCCCCTTCCCCCCTTTTTTTTTTTTTTTTTTTTGGTTCGGGTGTTGCAGGCCATCTTGTATGGGCCTTCGGCCTATCTGCAGCACCCCCGTGTCTCTTGAGCCGAAATAAATGAAATGAAATGCGCAAACCATTTAGATTTTTATAACAATACTTTAACTGACCTCGGAAATATATATCCATTCCGATATACCAGACCTACAGCATTTGCTAATTTATTTTTAAATGCTCAATATCATGGTCCCAAGGCATCTTTTGTGAAAGCACAACGCCAAGCGTTTTGAATGAGTCAACCAATTCAATATTTACTGAATTTATATAAATGTGTCCTAAGGGAGAAATAACTTTATTTCTCGGCCTAAATAATGTGACTTTTGGTTTATTGGGATTTATTTGTAAAGCGTTTCTATCAGTCTGAGTCCTTACTCATAATTTATCTCTGTGAATTGGCTATAGATAAGTTGATGTGCCTCATCAGCAGTAAAAAGAAGCGTCGTATTGTCAGCATATATCACAAATTTAGTAGTCTGGTCAATGTTCACAATATCATTGACATAAACTTAAAAAAGACGAGGTCCTAAAATAGTGCCTTGCGGTACACACGATATTACCGTTTTTTTTATTATTGCGAAATGAAATTATTACAAGCGTATTGTTTGCGGTTTCCAAGGTAGGATTGAAGAAGAGTTAAAGCTTGTCCACGAATTCCATAACATTCTAGCTTTTAGAGCGCAGCTCTTAGGGGCCCGTTCCCGGCTTGAGCGGCGTCGGCGTCGCCGTCGGCGTAACCAAGGTCATCCCAAGGTCACGTGACCCCCAAGGTCACGTGACCCCTCCAGGTCACGTGACCCCTCCCAAGGTCATCTCAAGGTCACGTGACCCCCTGAAGGCCACGTGACCCCCAAGGTCACGTGACCTTGGGGGTCACGTGGGGTCATCTTGGGATCACGTGACCCCTCCCAAGGTCATCTCAAGGTCTCGTGACCCCAAGATGACCCCACGTGACCCTTTGAGGTCACGTGACCCACAAGGTCACGTGACCCCCCTGAGGTCACGTGACCCCTCTGAGGTCACGTGACCCCTCTGAGGTCACGTGGTCTCCTCCCCAAGGTCACGACCCCTCCCAAGGTCATCTCAAGGTCACGTGACCCCCAGGTCACGTGACCCCCTGAGGTCACGTGGGGGTCACCTTGGGGGTCACGTGACCTTGAGGTGACCCCCCTGTGACACCCAAGGTCACGTGACCCCCAGGTCACGCCTCCCCGAGGTCACGTGACCCCCCTCCCCGAAGTCACGTGACACCCCCCCCACCCCCCCCCCCCCGAGGTCACGTGACCCCCCCCCCCCGGAGCATATTAAAGAATGAGGGGAGGAGGAGGAGAAGGAGGAGGGGTCTACCCTCCCCTCAGTACCCTTCACTCCTCCTCCTCAAGAGCTGCGCTCCAATTCGGCGTTACAGGGAGTTGTAAACGGCTTTCACTTTTTTCACTAATAGTTCATGGTTTAAAAAATCAAAGGCCATAGTAAAGTCTATGTAAATACCAAGCACTAGTTTTAATTTCTCGGGATTCCTTCGAATTAATTCCTTCTCTTCAAGTAAGGCAAGTTCAATTGATTGGTGCTTTCTAAATCCAAACTGGGATCCCGTAATTAGCTTATGTTTGTCAAAAAAGTTGGGCAAGTGGGTATGAATAACGTTTTTCAAGTCCCTTTGAAAAGACTGGCAGTATTGGCACAGGTCTATAGTTATTAATGTCATACCTATCTCCCTTCTTGTGCTGAACGAAAACCTTGGCTACTTACATACGCACAGGAAATATTCCTGTCGGTACGCATAAGTTGAAAATATGTGTTAGATGAGGTGTTATAATGTCTAGTACATATTTTACCGGCTTAATCTGGATATCATGCACACCTCTACTCGTAGTGTTTTTTTTTTTTGTTTTATTCATAAACACCGAAAACACCTCGGTGTCAATAACCGGATCTAGAAAAACAAAACCCTCATTCTTTTTTCCATGTATGAACATGCTTTATTACTATATGCGTTTGTATCTAAGTTTACAAAATGATCGTTAAACGCGTTAACTATAGAAACACCTGTAATTTCAGTGCCATTTAAACAAAGCTTTTCCACACCATCATGACACTAGCCACATTGTAGGATTGAATTTATAATTTTCCAAAAACACAAACCCGTCCACTTGACGAGCTCACGTTCCTATGATAGTAATACGCCTTTGCCTTTTGAAGTTCCTTTGTTAGCCTATGTCTATATAATTTGAAATTGTTTAGATCCGTCTGATCTTTTGTTTATTAAATGTTTCGAACGATCGATTTTTTATATTAACTTTCTCGATCAAAGGTCTGAAGTAATTCAGGGCTTACGAATTATTTTTTTATGTTTTAAATATCTGATGCATTCAGTTCTTTAAACCTGTCCACCAAAATATTGTACGCCACATCAGGGTTTGTTTCATTAACAACGTCAGTCCAATTTTTGCTTCTAATGCCTTCACGAAAGTTCTCAAGGTATCAAGCGTCATATCTTGAAAACGACTGATGGACTTTTTATTATTCTTATGGCATCGCTTGCCGGTTATGCAAAAGAAAGTTGGCAAATGGTGACTTATAATATAATTTAAAATGCCTCTAATCACACAAGGTTGTCAACATTTGTGATAAAGAGATCGATAACGGTTTCCGTGTTTTTCGTGATTCTAGTTGGTTTGGTTTTCAGATGAACAGTCATACGTTGCAAGCAGAAAATATAAATATTTTTTAGCTATGGTATTAAGTAGCATGTTAATGTTAAAATCACCTTCAATTATCACAGTTAACTTGTCGCTACAGAGTCGCAGGAGAGTGCCAAAGAAAGCAAGGAAATTCGGAATGTTGCCATCAGGTGGACGGTAAACTAAAGAAACAAACGTATTATCTGTCAGCAAAGAAAAACTTTCATACTCTTTAAATAATTAAAAGCGCCGAAAAAGACAAGGACAAAGAAGTGGAACGACACAAGGGGCAATGCGCCTTGCGTCGTTCCACTTCTTTGTCCTTGTCTTTTTCGGCGCTTTTAATTATTTGAAGAACCATGAACCAACTGGCTCAACTTTCCACTTTGCTTTCATACTCGCTAGAGATAAAAACAAGATAACACTTCACAGACCGTGCCTTCTTTTATTAGTGCACACACTCCCCCACCACGAGTAGTGGTGCGATTTAAACAATAGGCATTGTAGGATGGCAATTGAAAAACGTCCCCTTCATCAGAATACCAAGTTTCAGTTAACGTACACCGAAAGAAATTTCAAACTGTCCAGAAAACATTCGAGGTCAATGACCCTGTTCTTTGCAGAACGTACATTTAAATGAAAAGCCTGTTGTGAAATATTGGAACTTAAGCTAACGTGTTGTTTCAAATCAGTAAATAGTAGATAGGGCGAATCCGTCGTGTAATATCTGATGCGTCATATTCACGTGAGCAGAACTAAGAGACAAGCGCGAGCAAATCGTCTTCGTTCTTGACGATGAAAAAGCGCTCGCTATCCCTTCGCCTGACAAACAAACGTTATGTTCCTGCGCCAGACATACAAGAAGCCTTTCCCTTTCACCCATTCTTTTGTCTTGGTCAGCAGCTTCCTTTATACGTCGTCATGCTTTCGCTAACGTAGGCATCGATACCAGTGTTTCTCAACCTAGCACTCCCGTCCAACCAGGCGTCCCTTGTTGTCTCCGATGCAAACTTGATAATGATTCTCTGAATTTTATCAGGTTTTGACGGCAATCCATGGATAGCTGTGGCGTCACTTTGAGACAGTTCAGACATTTTCAACTTTTCTGCTATCTTGCTCACTTTGCTAATTTGCTTATCAAGCCTTCACCTTCAGTTTTCGGGATGCCGTGGAATTCTAAGTTAAGCTTTCTGCTTCATCACTTGAGGTCATTCACTTGGAGCTTCGGTTGCTTTAGCTGCGTTTTTTTTTCTCACTTTCCTCGATTGCTTCGACGCATTTCTTTACTCTTTAGCTCACGGCAGTGTTCTTTGATGTGGCTTAGGATGCTATGGTATTGATCAGACATTAGCTGAACCGACGTTTCGATCCCGACAGGTCATCCAGTTTCCCATTCATATTTGCTAACAGCACAGACATGTCTTGCCTGGCTTTTTGTTTACCCCCTTTTGCGTCACCTGGTAAGCTGGACATTTCCATGCATTAAGGTACGCCTCGCTTTTCGTCTTCAGCGTCGCTTCAGACACTCCCGTGCATGACCCGGATTGATACGAACACTCACATTCAGCACAAGAAATCGATGGTTCCTCATCGATCGAGTATCTCTTTCTGGCATTTTTACCCAAAGTTTTAGTCATCTACGTGTGCAATCGCGTGATCAACAGAGACGCACTCGGGCACCAGCAGCGGCAGTGATAAAGAGTAACCAACCTGCAAGGGCGTACAGGAGAGATTAAATCCTTGTCTCATCACTCGCCGCCGGTGCCGCCAGGAGGCCGCTGCCACTGTAGCAGGCAACTTAAAGGCCGGTTCTCACCTGCAACGAAGCGCTGATGTAGCACTGCTCACGTGTTGTCAGCTACTTATTGTCTCCCATGAGTGAGGAGATTAGAAGGGTAGGAGGGAGCATGACATCAGCCGTGTAGCCTCCACAAGCCAAGCTCCCTTCACGCCTCGCCTCTTTCTCATTTTCCTCCTTACCCTCCTCACTTATTGGCCCAGCATGTGACCTACCGGACGGAGCTGCTTGCTTCATGTCTAGCCTTCGATCTGTTAAAACCTACCGGACGGAGCGCGCGCAAGCCTGCAAGGAATCCTACTACAATCAACAGTCCATCTCGCACGTGACATGTCACGCGCACCAATTGCCAGAGAGATCTGGGGTCACGTTGGGCACAACATCGTTTAAACTTTTTATGACTATAGCTTCACACATATTGCAACCTGCCCCCTCTTAGTACTTATACACGAACTCATCTCTGTTACGTCACGGCGCGGTGGTGACACGTCGGGCGCACTTCCGGTCTGGGGCTGTGGGCGGAAGCCCCCATGTGAAACGTTTATTCCTGCGTTGTTTTGATAGGAACCTGAAAAAGCCTGCCTTCTCGTTAAAACGCCGCGAATGGGGCTGTATCAAAATAGTCGAGAATTTTGAAGATCAGCTTTCATGTGCTCAGTTCGTCCGAGAACGTGGATATGTGCCGTGAAAATGGAAAACCAGACGCCGTCAGACCACGATTGCTTGTGCGCATGGGCGTACCAACCGGGGGGGCAACGGGGCCGCTTGCACCCCCAGTTCTCAGAGTGGGGGGCAAAGCATGTGTTTTGCCCCCCCCCCCCCCCCCCCCCCCTTGAAACAGCCGCCACTGGGCAGGGCAAATACTGTCCGTCGGCGCCTAAGAGATACCATGGGCACAACCCCCCCAACCCGTGGGGGGGGGGGGGGGGGGCGGTCTGATTTGCCCCCCACTCAAAGACAAATTGGGACGCCACTGCTTGGGTAGGAAGCACTTTGGGTTGAATTCACGAATACTAGTGGTCATCAGATTAATTTGTTTTGTTCGAACATGAACGCCGGAAAACCGTCAAATTGTACGGACCACCTGCGGGCTACGTTCAGTGCGTCTTCAAGTTCTAACGGCCGCCTGATCGTTTGAACTGTCGTATTCTCTTTCAAACGCTTCTGCTTGTCGTCTGCTCTTTTAGACAGCACCGGCCGGCAGACCAAATGTTGGCCCGGTACTTGCAATAAGAAGTGCAGGCCTCAAAAGACTTAAGTTTGAAGGTTGGTAAGCAGGCTCGATGTAAGCAGTAGATACAAGGAGACGTTGATCATTGTTACCAGTGGCCATCACCGACTAGTTATGCCTGATTCACTTGGTCCGATTCTGCTTGCGATTTTCAGTATTGACGTGAACCATCTCAGCTACGGTTCACGCTTATGCAGCCCGAGCGACGTCGCGACTGAAAATTGCGAGCGAAATCTCATGATGCGCATCAGGCTTTAGCGTACTTACATTCTGCGGCGTCCACGCGGAATGAATCGCCGCATGTCACATTATTCACGCGAAGTTTTGAGGTGTAACGAGCCTCGGTAATTTCGTTGAGGCCGCTCAGGTAGTCAGGCATTGCCAGGAAGACGTGGAATCAACAATTCGAATGCGAAAAAGGGCAAAGGGACTCACACCGACGCCGACAACATCGCATTTCAATGGTTTGTTTATGGGCGACGGCAAGCTTTTTGCCCACACTCCATCGCGCATGCGCGGCGCCGGTGGCGTCCGCTATGGGCGCTCAGGTTTGTTTGTAAACATGAGTTGGTGTATAACCTCCTTGGCCATGAGCAAAAGATTTGACGATGCGATACAAAGGTGGTGAACGCTCCCGTCAGGACGCGTTTAGCGCGAGGTCAGCGCTATGCTTGTGCGTTCCGCTGCATGTATGAACAGGCCTCTATAAGGCAGGATCACGTGGATGTCAGCGGGTCGTTCCTTCTCCCTCGTTGAAAACAACTCTTGGTGAATAGACCGATCTCACCAGCTAGTTCGAGTACGCCACCGCTGCCGCCATGCATCGTGGGACCTGTAGTCTTTCTGCACGTGCGACAACCCCGCTGGAGGTCTGCACGAGCAGAGCACGAGGCGGCATGAGCTGTCTCGTGAACTGGCGTCTGCATCCTATGAACTACAGTTATGGCGGCGTCACGCATGCGTGGAACACTTAGTGAGATCGGTCTATTGGCTGTAGCGATCAGTCTTGAAACAGCGGCCTGACTGATGCTGTGTAATCTTGCCTGCTTCCGATCACTACAAGGGTGTAAAGGAGAGATTGCATCTTTGTCCGGCCGTCACTCGCCGCCGCCAGAATATCATCCACACAATACTCGATTTTTTAATTCTCCGCCACACAGTAATTCAATTTTAAACAGAGCTGAAATGCTCAGATTCCACCCGCAAAACACAAAGCGGTTTGGTTGGGAACAGCGGAAGCTCTGACGTAACATCAGGAAAGATAGCCATGACAGGTTTTGACTGCTGTCCCAGTAAAGAAGACTCGAGGTACAAGCACTTCTTATAAGTTGCGAATGCGAAAGCACGCACCCACCGCTCTTCACTCCCTTCTTTAATCAGCGGCGTACAACGCGCTGACCTTGGGCGTGGAACGGTGGAGCCGCTGCCTCGCGGACACGCAGCGCCATCAAGTGAGTGATCGTTCAAACTGTTGTGTGTCTTGCGGTACGAGGAAAGAACAGTCAGCAACGTAGCTCCGAGCAGAACGAACCTCTTGGTTTATTCTATGCGCCATATATATTGCCACGCGCCGTACAACCAATAAGAGGCGAGCGAATGCGGTGATCAGTGATAACACAACAGTGTGATAACACAGTCAGGATGACACCACACAAACTAACGCACAGCGGCCAATGGGAGTCTCGTCGACGCGCGCCAGCCAATGGGACCGAATATTAAAAGGTGCCGTTGGCTAGGTTTCCGCCTGGTTTCAGGATTAAAGGTGCCGTTTGGCACGGTTGCAAAGCTGATGGCGTCGGCTTGCTCCATGAGACAGTTAATTCTTTCGCATTAAAAAGACGCGAGGTACACCTAAGCACTTCATATGAGTTGTGAATGCGAAAGCATGTACATCATTCTTGCTCTCCGCGTGTTGGCGCGCTAACTGGCGCTGACCAGGCGCTAACGGGCACGCAGCGCCATAAGGTGGCCGGTTGCTGAAACTGACGCGCAGCGTCAGTTTCAATGACTGGCCACCCCATGGCGCTGCGTGTCCGGCGAATGGGAGCCTGGTCGACGCGCGGCAGCCAATGCACGGGACCGAAGTGTAAAAGGTGCCGTTGGCTAGCTTTGCGGTGTAAAAGGTGCCATTTGCGGCTAGCTTTGCGCGTGAAAGGTGACATACTGGGCCATTGGCTCAGAAACGCTTCCTTTGATTTCCTGCTTCTCAAAGCCTTCACTTCATTGTTGCCACTCCTACTGATTTATCAGTAAATCTACTGATTTTTCAGAAGCTTCCTGATTCAGTGATAATACCACAGAATCTACTGAGGTTTTATTTTTTTCCTTTCTTGCCTACACGTGGTCCAAAACTACTACTATTTGCTCCAAGGCATGCCCTCGAGTTATTTCGGCGCACTTTTGAGCCGAAATAACTCGAGGTTCACGTGTGTGTGTGTGTGTGTGTGCGTGTGCGTGTACGTGCGCGTGCGCATGCACGTGCGTGCGCGTGCGTGCCTGTGTATGTGTGCGTTTTTGTGTGTGTGTTTTGTGCAGCACTGCTTGCAAGCAGTGCTGCCTCCAGCGAGCAGGCACTGCGACGCCTGGAATTTCGCACTGCGCATGGTTACCCTCAGCGTGATAAGATTGTCAGCAAGGCGAAGGCAGTGCCAGCTCAGAAGGTTGTTCTTGAAAAACGACCTCGACGTGATAATGGTCCAGGAAACCAAGATTGAGAGCGAGGAGCAGACCGAGCAGATGGTGCACCAATTTGAGTCGCGATACGATGTATGCGTAAGCGTAAATGGTGTATGCATTGTTTTGAAAAATTCTTTAGGTATTATTGTTGAGAATGTTGCTTCACGTGAAGATGGGAGAGTCGTGTATTGTGATACATGCTTTTCAGATCAAAAGTTTTGTATAATCTGTATCTGCGCACCAAGCGTAGAGACGGAACGATGCCATTTTTTTTAAGTATATCGGAATATTTAATGTGCGAGCGACTGCTTGTGGTGGTGGAGGAGTTCAACAGTACATGTGCTCCTGAAGACAGGACCCTCATGGTCGCCGGAGGGATAGCAGTGGCGACGTCTGAAATGAACTGGTAAATGAGCATTACTTGGAGGACGTGGCACACTGCGGAAAGGGCACGAAGGGCGTGCAGTTCACCCATTTCCAAGGAACCAGCCACGCACGGCTAGACAGAGCATACGTGTCAGTTCAGCTTGTTCCGCTGTGTGAACACTGTAGTGTCGCGAGCAGGTGTGCTTTAGTGACCACTGCCTCGTGACTTTCGGGTAAGGATCAAAAAGAAAAGACCGACACCGATTTAATTGGCACAACTTGAAAATGAACTACAAGCTCCTTGACGGCGAGGTATTTAATGACAAGATAAATACACGGATTGCAAATTTAGGGAACATCTGCGAGAGCGAGATGACCGGAGAATGGGAAGAATTTAAACGAACAGTTGAAATGGACGCCATAGAAAGATCAACCAATCTTAAGCCGTTGGAAAGTGAAATTGTCGGAAATTTTGTCCCTCGTTTATTTGGTCGTATTCTTAGCAGCAATCATTCTTAAGCTTAAATAACTGTTATTTGTGGTCTAAGTGGAAAACAAATCAGTATTTAAAAAAATGAAGTAATTATAAAATTTGTCTGATTTAAACCAGATTTATTTGATTTAATTCAAACGTTCATG